GGTCGTTGACGAAATCATTTAGGATCATACCTTTGGTATTTCCTCTATGATTCTGCCAAAGTCTGTGTCTAGCGTCTCCAAGTAACAAGGAACGAGTGTTTTTGGGGAAAAACGGAGTTACTGACGAGTCTGCGGTTTCGCGCACCCCGCGTTCGCGCACTAGACCACTTGGGAAGTCCCCTCCATACGCAAATTGTGGTGGTGGCTGTCTTTGTCGGGGTAGTGTCTGTCTCTGTTGTTCTCGTGGAGCCTGGGCCGCTCTTCGGCCCCAGGCTGGCTTTTGAGGTTGAGGGGCAGGAACATACACAGGCCTGGGAGCATTTATTTCTTCAAGGAGCTGTTTCTTCTACTTGGACACCGGGTAGTTAGTGGACATTGCCCGGTATCCTCCCTTACAATTTGCGCATACCGACAGCCTATCCCTGTTGGGGCAGTCAGCCGTCATGTGCGCTTCTGCGAACTTTGAGAATCTGCTCGCTCGAAGACAGCCTGTCATCGTATGTCTCCAGGCCTGGCATCTGATGCATTATGAAATGTTCTTGCGGTTTTTCCGCTCTTCCCACTGTACCCTGGAGGCGAAAACCGTTTTAATGTTGGATCTCAATTTCGCCAGTGTCCATTCGGAGCTTGTGACTACCAGGTACAGAGTGGGTTGTTTGCCCCGTTTTTTTCATCGAATTGTCTTTTATTTTCGTGGCATATCTGTCCACTAGAAATTCCTTCACCTCTTGTGTCGTATAATTCCACTTCATATTCCTCATCACAAAGGCGTGAGTCTTCTCGGTAGGCACCGTGTACGTGTGGTACTCGGCACCATCGTTCGTTAGGTGCCGCTCCATACTACTTATGATCGTTCATATTTTTCGTGTACACGATGACGGAATTGCTGCCATATCTCATCTCTAGTTATTCAGAGGTGATGGTTCCTGCCATCTCCAGAAACCTCTTATGATCCTTTAGCTTTTCCCTTGTCACAATTGGTGGGGAAAGAGACTTTTTTCCTGTGGCTGCAGGCGATTTGGGTGATGTGGCTTGGGCCACTTTGGACCTGATCTCCTCTCTGGAGTTGTTGAGGATAATTACTTCAGGTTGTGGGTCATTGACCTCAAGAGCCTGGTATTGGTTTTTGATTGGATCGTTAAAAAGACTGCCAAGGCCTGTTTTCCTAATTAGGATGGGGGAGGGTGGTCTGCCTTCGCTTGTTGTAGGGGTTGTGGGATGTGAGGTCCGTCGGGGATTTGCCTCATTTCCCGTCTTGTGCTTATTGCTTTTTTTGAGGCTTTTTACCAGCTTGCGTTTGATTTGCTTTGGTCATATGCAGCGGTAGGCACCCTCACCTCAACTAGTTCCCTGACTTCTTCCTCTCTGTGAAGGTTCATGTAGTTCAGGTGTTTTTCGCAGTCTTTGCATGATTCTGCGTGGTGTTCCAGTCTTTCTTTGACTTTTGGTATGCTTCTTCTTGCCAAAGAAGCACTAGAAGCAAAGCTCTGCAGACTTTCCGTGTCAGACACGTTGGAGGCGTCATTGCCTGCCATCTCGGACACGTTCCCTTACTTGTATGGGTGCGTCTTCTGCGTTCGAGATGTCCCCTTACATGTGAGTAACGTCCCCTCACTTTGGTATGCTCTGTTCTTTGCACGGCTCTTTACTTCTGCAGAGAAATACTGGTGAGAGCTATCGTGCCCTCACTTTTCTGGTGGCGTTACCTTACTTGGGTGATGTCACCCTGATAATATTTTGGCTTTCCTTACTTTTGTCAGAAATATGATGCCGTGCCCTGACTTTTCCGACGTTCCCTAACTGAGAAACCTTCCCTCACTTGTTGTTGATTTTTCGTCGATGTCCTCTGACTTTTATTGAAACACTTCCCCTTACTTTTAGTCTTGTAAGGAGATGTCATGCCCTGACTTGTTCAATTTTCGACGTTCCCTGACCTTTGATGAGAATGTGATTTTTGTGGCTATGTTCTCTTTCCCTTACTTTTGGTCTTGTAGGAGGTGAGTGTCGTGCCCTGACTTTTCTCAGGTTCTCTAACTTTCGGTAGTTTAGGTGCTCTTACTTATTTCTGATAGAGTTTTACAAGTTTGTGGAATGTTAGGAATTTTCTTGATAAAAATTTCGTGGCGAGTTTTGAGCCTAGAAGGCTGAAACTTGGATGGGGCGAAGCCCCGTAGAAATACTGGGTGAATGCTCTGACCAGAACTTACCCGACGTTTGATGTGGCACTGAAAGCTGGCAAAATGTATGCCCATCCGAGATTGGAATGGGCCGGCAAAAAAAGATGGTTCTCATACACTGAGAATGCATATGAAAAGGCTTGTTCATTTTATAAGCACAGAGCGTCCGTTCGATTCAACGTAAGGACGAGAATTATACCATTTAAGTTCAATCTTCTTGCCCTGCCACGTACTTTGATTCAGCTGTAGACAAGGCCACACACGTTTGTTCCTTGGAAAACCAGCTGAATGGATTTCCAGCATACAGAGCCACTTGTACTCTTCCTGTCGGTTTTATCTCCAGCCCAGTCTACGTCGGAATATCAACAGTGTTTTTCAAATAACTTAGGATTCTTTTGCCTGCAATTCACAAGCGTTGTTTGTCCAAAGATAGGATACTGCATATAGAATATCTGGTCTGGACATAGACATTGATACCAAAATCTTGTAAAATTTCATTAATATATTTTTTCCGAGTGATAAGTACTTATGATGTCAGAAGTTCTTGTTATCTCCATTCCAATAAATCTGCTACTTTTACCCACTTCTTCAGCAATTAGTTTATTTTTCAAATTATCTACCACATCCTGTATTTCATCTTTCTTTCCTGTGATAATTAAATTGTTTACAAAAACAAGAAGACATAGAAATCATATTCAGATCTTTTAAAGTCTTAAATCTTTCATTATTTCATTAAATCTGTTATTCCAACACTTTGAACTCTCCTTCAGCAATACAAAGCTCTTCTGAGGTTCAAAACTTCGTTTTGGTCTGTATTTAAACCATCTAGTATACTTCAGATTCAAGTTTTCCATTTAGGAAAGCACTTGGAATGTCTGGATGACGTAGGTACACTATAATTCTTATGTAGGTACTAGAAATTTTCAAATCGTCGACAAACTGGCAACTGGTGCATACATTGGTGTAAAATCGTTTTCCTCCTGAATCTGGAAGCCTTTGGCTACTAATCGAGCCTTCTCTGTACCATCTTCCTTGGTTCGAAACACCTATCTCGTATCAATTGCAGATTTATTATCAGGAAGTCCAAGTTTGAAGATTTCTGAGAGACTCCATCTCGCCATTCAGAACTGTTTTGAGCTTCTAAAAATGTGTCAGGATCCTCTTGTGATTTTATAACATTCAAATAAGTTCGTTTCACGAGAGTTTATACTTTTAACACAGCATATACAAAAACAATCAGCAGGCTAACTCTCACGCGCATCTTTTCTGCGCACGCCGCCATTAGGGGATACCATTTTGTCAGAACGCTGTCATTAAACGGCAGGAGCGCCGAAATTTTATTTTATTTGTTTATTTCTGACGGAGGTCATAGGCGTGCGGTGTAGAGCAGAATTTTAGCTATGATTTTCAAAATGATTTTGATATATTTGTGTTGTCATTTATGGTGATATGTGTTATCATTCTTGTATATTCGATAATAATAATAAATTAGTAATTATAAACATTATTATATGTAAGTAATAATAAATTAGTTTATTTAAAGCCAATACGACTCTGTCACAGGAAAGAATAAACCAAAATTATCGTTAATCAGGCCCTGTTTCGTATTCCAAAATGGCCTCTAGTGACATTTTGACGATGAATTCCTTTATTACACGGGCTGTCACTCAAGTTAGCCTGCTGATTGTTTTTGTATATGCTGTGCTTTTAACATCGAAGACGTCATAACTTGAAAAAAAAAAGGTTGTCGTAGATTAATTCATAAGACACATTCAATAAACAAATTAAAATGAATGACTTCTTCTGGTTGAGGAACCGACAAACGTTTTTGACGCCATTGATTTGTTTCAGTCAATTTCTATTTGTTAAAAAAGGAAGGCAAATTATGTCAAAAGTATAAACTCTCGTGAAACAAAGTGTAGAAATTTTATAATTTTGAAAATACTGAAGTTTAAGTATTTTTCTACCAGTTCTTCCCACAATAGGCTCTACATCAGCTAATATCCTGCTCAATTTCTACTTCTTCAAAGCAAAGTCACTGCTGTGACTGTGCTGTGATTCACTCATTAATAGAATGTTAAAGAAAAATTTTGACCTGGAAATGAGTGTTTTTGAACTGCTTGATTCGAAAATGAGTAAGTTATTGAACTAATGAGTAAATTTCATGAGTAAAGTATATGCATACATCAAATACATCTTCTCGTCATATAATAACTGGACAACTAACTGGTTAATGTTCAACTAACACTGCTGGCTCCGTTTGAAGTAGTGGAAAAAGTCCAAAACTAAAAATAAATTAGGAAGGCCCCTCTACAAAAAAAATCACAAAGTTATCTCGTGATTCTTATGACGACAAATAAAAAAATTGCCTCATTACGAGTGTAAACGCACTCTAAATTGCGTCAAAACGGCCCTAACTACCAGCCATTATCCGAGTGTCGTAAAAACACGGAATTATTTTTTAATTCCTCGTTGAGACAAATAAATCACTAGCGCTTTTTCTTAAGAAAACGTTTCTCTGGCATTAAAATTTCAAATTAAACGGTAAAAACCACACACAAGAGAATAGAAAGCTGAAAACTATTTAAAAAAAAATTGATTATTATCTTTTAAAACTCATCCATTATATTATGTCTGATAAAATAAAGCCTATCATTAGAGAAACATTTAAATTTTTTTGGCCCACTTTATATGATCTATAACGAATTATTCAACAATTTAAATTAGAATTTGGTTACCGCCCTGATAACTTATCGGTTACATAGTTTTTTTTTTTGTTTTTTTTTTGTATTAAGTTTTTCATGATAAGATTCTCCCTTACAGGTGAAAGAAATTGGAGGAGATACTTCGAAAGTAGAAAAACTAACTTTCTACAATCACACCGAATGCGAGTGCCGAGAAAAATCCGGGGAACCACCTAGCGCTACCGAAAGACAAAAACGAGTAGCGCCGAAAAATCTACAACCATCGATTACCGACAAAGTACCCGAAAATTTATTAATGAAGTGAGAATTTTTTGTATAAAAATTGATAAAAATATTAATAATGTTGTTCTAGATGTAAATGTCCGAAAGAGTTTCTTCCTAAAATTAAATCCGGCACAAAATGTCACTGCGACTGTGACCAAAACAATGAGGATTGTATGAGGATGAAAAAAGGCAAAGAGTATAGCAGCCTTGCTGATAGATTGTAATAATTTTATTTATTTTTAAATTAGTTTATTTATTATTTACTTTTTATTTTTAGGTGTATTCAGAAAAGAGAATGTGGTATAGTTACCTGCCAGTATGGACCTTATGATAAGCAAAAAGGTCGCTGTCCGAAATTTGAAGAATCTTAATTACGTATTTGGAATTTTTATTTGTGATTTTTAAGTCATACTTTTTTTTAGTTTAAATAAGAAAGGATGTTAATTTTTGTGTTTATTCTAGGACATTTTTTATATTATTTATTTTTGTATTTTCAGTAGTTATAAAATTTAAGTGGAAAATTAATATAAAACTTTTGTGAGGATGTAGCTTCTTAAGGTACTTATATATAAGCTTAGTTCATATCTATATATGAGTCACTGGATACGAATTAAGCCTTTTAGAGTGAAAAATTTAAAGAATGTATGTATTTATTTCAGCCAAATCCTAGTCTCAGTAGTTTTTTGTGTATTTAAATTCACTTCGACATTGAAAAAAAAAACAACTTTATATAAATTAATTTTAAAATAAAATATACAAGGAGAAAATATTAAGCCAACAAAGCTTTATTGTCCTAATTCTTAGCAAAATCACTGACAAACCAAAATGTATAAAGTTAGTCTTAAAAACTATACATAAAAAGTAGGTAATAAAATTTCACAAAAAGTTCCGTCTAAAATAACAATAAAAATCTAGGTAAGTGCTGCAAGCAGTGTGACACTAGTCATGAAAGGAGCCTTCAGCAAAAGTGTTTACTAGGTATACCATAAGTATTATTGAAAATGGTTAAAAGATCTACGCTGTAAACAACATGTCAATATAGGTAAAAACCAAGACACCACATTACATAACCAATCTTAGATCAAAATAATGAACAAATTCAAAATAACAAACAACAAATTCCAAATGGGAAATTACACAGCAAAAGAAAAAAAAAATAATAAAATAAATAAAAACTTTAACATATAGGTACAGTAACATAATCCGTCTTATAAAACACTAAAATAATATAATAGCTAGTTTGTGCTGCTCAATATTTTTCAGTTCCTTTAGCAGATGATTAAATATTTTGATTCCCTCATAACTTATTGAGTATTTAACCAATGCAGATTTCGGGATTGGTAGGGGTAAATTACTGTTATTTGTCAAACTATAGCTCTCAACCCTCTCATAGTTTTGAAACTTCTTGAAATTCAAGCAGGCCGACTCCAAAATGAAAAATTGATGGCACTGTCAACATCCGTTCCCGAATAAAGAGGGGTTTGCAGGTTTGTTGGTAACCTGCATTGCATAAAGTTCTAAGGGCTCTTTTCTGTAAGACAAACACCGACTGAACGGATGTCTGAGCTGAGAATCCCCAGAATGCGATTCCATATCTAACATGTGACTCCATCAATATGGCGTAATATGCAGTTTTGACGGTGTGTTTTCCGAGCTGTTGCAATATATTTTTAACCATGTAGCATCCCTGTGATAGTTTTCTATTAAGCATATCGATATGTGTTTCAAATCTTACTTCGAATCTACGTGCATCCCAAGAAACCTCACAACATTTTTTTCCTTAATAGTGTCTCCATCAAAAGTGATACCGTCCAATAAACATTTAAACATTAAAATATTAGTTTTTGGGATATTAAAGACTAGAAGGTTTGCATCGCACCCTCGATCGCACCAGTCCTTTATTAATACCAAATCACGCTCTATAATGGTTGAAAGAACCTGCGAATCTTTATGTCCCCAAACAATGGTGGTATCATCTGCAAACATCAAAAAAACTTCCAATATCCGAGCACTGAACCCTGTGGTACTCCTCAAGTTACATTCAGAATTTCGGAGTCGTCTTTGTTAGGTACCTACCTACCTATTCTTACAAATTACCTTCTTCCCGATAGATATGATTTAAACCAGTTCAGCTCCTTCTCGTGGATCCATAATTACTCAACTTCCGCAGCAGTATTTCGTGACTTACGCAATCAAATACCTTTGAGAAGTCACAAAAAACTGCCGCAGCCCTCTCGCCATCATTCAACCTAAGGAAAAGCTTTTCGAGCAGTCAAAATTGCTTCGTTTGTGCCCTTGCGCTCTTGAAATCCGAACTGATTTGATGACAGAATGTTTTATCATTTAAGTAGTTAACAAGCCTTTTTTTCGCGATTTTTTCTATTATTTTTGAAAGGGTGGTCAGTAGAGAAATACGGCGCTGGCGATAGGCAGAAGGGTCCCGATCATCTCTTTTATAGATTGGGAGGATTACTCCCAATTTAAAGAAATCTGAAAATTCACCCCTATCAAAGTGACCTTATATCAAAGGAATTGTTTATGCTGTTCACAAGGGCTGCCAAGGCATCATCTGGTAAATTTTTGAATATTTTCAGCGACACATTTTCCACGCCCGGTGAGTTGTTTCTTAATGTCTCTTATAACCATTCCTTGTTCTTCTTCATGTTAAATCTCATTTTATTAAAGCCCTCACTGTTCAATTAACAATTCCAAATTCAATAACCATAACAACATTAATAAACTCAAAAAACAACCAAGAAAAAAACATTTTGCACTCCGAGCTAGGCCCTCCTCTCGTTGCCTCCCACATCAACCGACTGACTGACTCATGACAATTCTCCACCTTTATTGGCTCTGAAGCTACAACTCCCACGCAATGCTCTTGAAATTATGTTCTTTGACTTTTATAGGTAACTTCTTTGTTTACAGAGAAAACGTTTTTCTCTTCAACCAATTTGACGCTTCGTGTTCTTCCTTCATTTGTATAAGCTTGCTTTTTAGCATTCGATTTTAAGAAAGTTTGTAACTTATTAGAAACGTTTTCTGCTATAAGAACGCGTTCTTCATGTTTTATTAATGTTATTGGTGAGATGCATCTCTTTTGGGGAACTTTGCCCACCATCCGTGCGCGCGTATTGTATTTCTTCGGAGAAATCTTGTTCTGACTTGTTGAGTCAACTTTTGATTCAAAGGGAAATTTTTCCCCGGAAGAAACGTTTTCCTCCTCAACAAGTGGCCCTTTGGAAACTTTTTCCCATGAAGAAACTTTTTACCCATCGCTACCTACATCGTTGGAAACATTTTCCATTGAATAAACGTTATCTTCATTAATACGTTGTTCCTGGGATTTTTTTCCTTCTGAAGGAACCTTTTCTTCATGAACACTTTGTTCTTGGGAGTCGTTTCCCTGTGAAGATACTTTTTCTTCATGAACACGTTGTCCCTATCCTCCGATTCGGAATCTTCTGTATTAGTGTCCAGTCTGATATTAAATGGCTTCAAACGATCTACAGCACATATACCTCTCTATTTTTTTGAACAGGGCAAACCTATCACATATCGATCTCTGCCTAAATCAGCTGTGACAATATTAGGTCCATCATACTTTGCTAATAGCTTTCTACTCTGCCGTTCATTTGATGCCACATTTCGTCGCATCATAACTTGTTGTCCAATTTCATATTTGCGGTTCTTCAATCTCTTTGCATCATATCTTTCTTTTTGTTTTGCTTGATCTTGATCAATAGCACCTTTCGCTTGAACCCTCTGTTTCTCTAATTCATTTACTCAATCATCATTTGCTATTTCATTCGTTGAAAATGAATCTACTTTTCCCCTTGGTAGGTATCCAAACATCAATTCGTGAGGACTTTTTCCAGTAGTTTTCGAAGAAGTAGAATTTATTCCAAACTTTACTCTTGTCAAAGTCTCGTCCCATTTCCGTTTATCATCTGTCATTGATCTTATTCCTGTTAGCAAAGTTCTATTATATCTTTCGCCTTGTCTATTCCCTCGAGGTGTTGCTGTAGCATTTTGAACTAATTTGATATTGAACTTCGTAGTGTATTCCTTGAAAGTTTTATTAGAATAGCAAGTTCTCTGATTACAAATTATTCGTCTTGGTATTCTAAAGGTGTCACTTATTTCTTCCATGAATTTTATCAAAGGAGACATTTTGGTATTTGGAACTACTTTAGTGTAGTGATGAGAGTACTTGAGTACAGGAATCGAGTGATATCCGATTCCTGAAGGAATCGGTAGTATTTATTCGAATACTGGCGAGCGGCGGAACCGATTCCGATTCTTAATATAAGCAATGCTGGGAAGTGCGAATCTACCGACACTGTCACTTACTGGACTGGATTCGAGAATTGAGAGTTATTTTAAAAAATAATCTTTTCTGTACCGCGATTTTTTGCGAGAAAAATACATGACATACCTACATAAATACTTTACTATTTCAAACCGAAAATAAAACAAATTACTCAGTACTTGGTATTCAATAGAATATCCGATTCCACAAAGTACTCGAGTCCCTAGTATTCGATTCTTGAAAATAGCCAATTCTTCCCATCACAAATTTAGTGAACAAGTACTTCGTAAAAAAATCTACTGCCGCAATCAGGTATGAATTTCCTTTGCAACTTTTTACAAACGGACCTAAATGATCCAGATGTAATGTGTCCATAGAAGTAGCAATTTTCTCTATTGGATACACCAGGACGTTTTTTTGATGGTTTCTTGTTATAAGCATACATAAGATAACTCTGTATATATCATGAAACATAATTACTTGCGCATCCTGAGAAACCAGTAATTTTGAGAAATTGCAGACAAAGTTTTCTCTAATGCAAAATGGCCAGCTGAGTCATGATAGTAGAACGTAATAGCTTATCTTGCCCTTTTTGGTACCATCCACTTATTACCATCTTTTGTAATTTTAAAAATACGGTTGTTTTTTAGAACATATTCCTTATGAATATTCTTCTCTTCTACATCCTTCGGACTTTCCGAAAGGACCTGATGCAGATATTTACAGCGATCATCCGACAATTGAGCAAATAGTCATTTAGTCAATCAGACTCAGTAATATTTATAGCCAGGACAGAACCTCAGTAGGTTCATCAACAGAATGTCTGCTTAGTGCATCTACTTGTGCCATCCTAGAGCCAGGCCGATATTCAACAGAGAAGTTGAATTCTAAAGTAATCAACCACCATATAGCTATTCACGAAATCCCTCCATGCAATTAACGACGGCTAATGTCTCTAACTCGTAGGAGTGCTACCGCTGGTCTTCCTTGCTTGTTTGACGACTATAATACAACACAGGTTTCAATTTACCATCTTGTTGTTTCTGTAACAATATGCCTCCTAGTCCCATTTAGATGTATATCTGTGTAGCTCAGTCTCTAAATTAGGATCATAAATAGCTAAAATTGGTCGAGTACACAGTATCTCTGTTTGAGCTGTCGCAGCAAATCTTCTTCATCAAAATATTTCGGTCTTTTTAGTAAGTGTGATTAATGGTCTTGCGATATAGGCGAAATTCTTGACGAATTTCCGAAAATAACTGGCAAGTCCTGAACACTGCCTCACCTCATGGACATTTTTAGGAACTGGAAACTTCTCTACTGCAGTTATTTTCGATTTTCCTGGTCTGACACCCTCTGCCGATATCTCATGTCCCAAATAATCAATGGTTTGTCAAAAAAAAAAAACATTTAGTCATGCGTAGTGCGTAGGGTAAGTCCAGCGTTACCAAATACTTTCAAGATTTCTGATAAAGCTCTGTATCCAAAGTCAAAGTCAACTGCCGGAATCAAGATGTCATCCATGTAGGCCAGGGCCGAGTTCAGAAATAACGCACAGGGTGCGAGTGCGATTTTATGGGTGTGCCTAAATTCACAATTGGCCATTGGGTCCATAGCACAATCCAACATTTTTGAACAGCTAGGGCGTCGCACCGGTGTCACACTCACACTGGGTGTGTCATTCCTGAACTCGCCCCAGTGCTGTATTAAATCTTCATGAACCAAGAACTAGGTTAATACTTTGCTGAAATACAGCTGGAGCATTTGCTAATCCAAATGGCATTCGTGAATACTCATAATGCCCATCTGGCGTAATGAATGCTGTTTTCCTCTAGACTCTGCAACCATTGGTATTTGGTGGTAGCCTCATGCCATATCAAGTGACGTAAAGTGCTTGCTTCCTCTTAACCAAACTCATTTAAATTTTCAGCAAAGCAATGACTTTAAAAGTTCAAGGAGACACGTTGCCTCAGATTCTGATAAATTGTTATCATAATTCAAATCAGATAACGTAAAATGTTTAAAATTGTTAGTACGTTCAACTTGTAAAATGCTTACCTCGTTTAAAAAGTTGTTCTCTTGTGAACACGGCGCCGGCGTTCCCCTGGCAAATAATTCTTCTGCTTTGAAATCCAGCACGGTTGCAGTTCATGACTGGTGAAACGCCATTTTGCGAAGAAGTTATACACCTTGGGATACAATATTCATAAGATGGCTTGAGTCTGGTTCCAAATTCGTCAAAAACTTCTTCATTGTAGTCGTAGGCCATAAGAATCGCAATTAAATCATTTTAATTTCATGTTCAAAAATTTTGGAGCCTTTGTATCACCGTATCTATCCTTTGAGAATTTATAATTTTGAACAGCATGTTTATGTGTATACCAAACTTTTGTTTATCTTGGGCACGTGGACGTTCCACTGTACCCAAGGTTGACAAATAATCTCGGTACAGATCTTCAGGCTCACTATATCTGCCTGCTTTGGCCCCGTTTTGGATGACAGGATCACTAATGCCCATTAATAATCATATCAACTGCGTTTTTACCGCTAATTTGGCAACAACGCAACAACTCTGTTTTTCCAAAATAATACTTAGTCGACGTTTCGTCGTGTAACTTTTTTCTAGCTATCATTTTCCTTAAGGTACTGGGAAAATCCCGCTGCTCAATGTTCAGGGAACGCATTTAAAATCAACTATTTCCACTGCGCCCATGATAAGTCATACTCTAGTAAACTATTGTACCACGATTTTGCGAGTCCTGAAAGTACTGATTGTATGTGATAAATTATTCTTTGCCCATTCCAACCGTTTATTTTAGTTAATTGATCTATTTTATCTAACCACATTTTTGCACTCAAATTTTCATTTCCGGGTGTTAATTCAGGTATTGTCCGTCGTTTTTAATCTGACACTTTCCCCATGAGGAGCGAGGGGGTGAAGCTTATGACAAAAACAGGTGTGACGGCAGGTGACCATTAGCGTTTTAATGTAGGGAGACACCAGCTCACATTTTTTTGGAGAATCAGATTAAAATCGACGGACGGCAATCCGATCTTATAGTCACACGTAGGTTTTGGCGTGTATCTTTATCTTTGTCCAAAAGATCGTTGACAACTTTTTCCAAATGCATTAGCATTATTTAAGTGTTAGCACTTTCCAATAATTCTTTATTTAAATTTTCATGTTCTAAAGTCGGTAAGCTCTCACTACTGACGCTTATTTGAGGGATGTGAAGGGGCGTAAATGAATCAGCAACTCTGGAAGTATGCTTTTTGATTTTTTTACCCTTTCTCTTTCTTTCATAACGACCGTACGTATCACAAGAGCTACTCTATACCTTTACAACTTCAAATTGAGACTTATCACAATCAAATTGAAATTAACAAAATCAAATTAAGAACAATCAATTTCAAATTGGTACAACATCCGTTTCCATGTAATTAAACGTTGTACCAATTTGAATTGATTATTCTTAATTTGATTTTAATTTGAAAATGTTTGTTCTCAATTGGATTGTGATAAGTCTCAATTTGAAGTTGTAAAGGTATAGAACCATCGAATCTCTCGTATCTCTTTTATGCTTACGACCTATTTTAGGTGCTTAAATCTAAGCTTACCTCAATTAATATGTGCTAACACTTGCTAGTTTCACTTTCAAATTTATTCACATTTTATTAGCCCTCACTGTTCATAATTAACAATTCCAAGTTCAATAACCATAACAACATAATAAACTCAAACACCCATACGTCAACCGTCCAGTGGCGTATCCAGCCTGATGTTCTGGGGGGGGGGGGGGCAAACCTGGTATGTATAATATTTTCACAGAAAAATAGGGTAGTGCTATGCCAGCCACCACTGAAAAAATCTTTGGGCTGCTCATTATAACGATAAGAGGTTGATAACTGGAATTATTTGTTTTCTGAGAAATCGACTTTCAAGAAACAAGTAGGTAACATGTGTAACATAAAATCAAACTAAAATTTAATTCAAAAGTCAAAGATATACAGGGTGCGGCACGAAAAACTTCCCACCCAGGTTTTCTCAGGTGTCAGGTGATAAATCAAAAATCGCTCGGACACATCACTTTTTGTTTTTGAGGGACTTTATTTATTGATATTTTCACCCCTTACCTGTGAACCCCTAAGCGGGGGTGATAGGTACCAGGTACCCCCCAAAAGTTCAAATGGAAGGGGGGTCGAGTGATCCGTCATTTGTTAGCTACTTTTATTAAGATTATATCCCCAAAGTTTCAAATTGCTACTATCAACCCTGTCGAAATAGCTTGTCAAAGCTGTGTGTTTTTTACCTCATATTAACAAATTAACATATTTTTCAAGTGAATAAACATGAACCATTCTGAAGTGAACTGTTGAATGACGATACTTAGATTAAATGCCAATCTTATTTTATTACTATGGATAGGTACCCTTCAAAAATCTGTTGTTTTGTTATTATGTGGTAAAAATCACACAGTTCAGATACCTACTCGAAAAAAAGCATTTTTCCTAACTTTGACACACTGCCATTTCGGTAGAGAAAATAGTAGCAACTTAAAACTTTGAGGTTATAATTCTTACAAAAATAGCTACCAAATGCCGTATCATTCGACCTCGTTTTGCATTTGAAATTTTGGAGGTACCTGTCTCCGCCGCTTAGGGGTTGACAGGTAGGGAGTGAAAATACGCAAAAATTGACGTGTTCGAGCGATTTTTGATGGAAATTTTTCGTGCACCACCCTGAATAATAAATACTTTAAATTACTGAAAAAATTCACACTGGAATAACTAAAATATAAATATTGGTATATACAGGGTGTTCCTTAATACTAAATATCATGCATGTACAAACGGAAGGGGGCGATTCTTTGGTTTTTTCTTATGACTAAATAAAATTTCAAAGAAACATGGGTTTGCAAACGCTTCGTTACCGATCTACAGGGTGTTGAAATTTCAATATATTTTTTAGTTCTTTCTTTATAGCTCCTACGGCTTTCGAGGGATTAAGCCCAAATTTGAAATATAGGTTACGCAATGGCAATAGGAGCTAAATGATTGTACATTCCACAGAAAGATTGAATCATAAAGGTTCCTTCTGCATTACCAGCTTTACCAGACAATTATTATTGCTTTTGAGAAAGATAGTTTTTGTGTTTTTGGTAGTGTCGCCTTTTGACAAAGTCTGAGCCCTGATGAGTGATGATGGTTCAAAGGCGAAAGCGCTAGGCAGCTAGTAATATACATTACGCTGGATATACCTAAAACTAGTATTTTGACCGTACAACTGAACAGTTTCTATTTACAAAAAAGCTACCTGTTCATGTAGTTGAAAAAAGTATTATTTATTAAATTAATTTCAGTACATTTTTGAATTTATTTTTTTATTATTTGACAAATTTTTAAAAAATAAAAGGAATAAAAAGATGTTGCTCTGGGGGGGGGGGGACAATTGCCCCCTTTGCCCCCCCCCTGGATACGCCAGTGCAACCGTCAACCGACTGACTGACTCATGACAGTTCTCTGATATAATATACTTAAGCGATTGATTCAGTTCCAATAGATTAATATATATTTCTATGCCAATTTTGGTTGTTTGCCTCTAATTTCACTTATGATCTTCTTGTACTACGTCTAGAAACTCTTAAAAATGTTGAAATATAGGTATTAGGTTTTAAAAAATTTACTCAAAAACCAACAAATACATTAAACAAATATTTATTTGATACAGCATTAGGAGTATTCTTCGCATTAGTAACATTTATTGTCCTATCAAACCTGATACAGGCAAAATATCATTTATTGCTTCAGTCAATTAACAAGCAACTCATTTATTAATCACAGCTTAACTTTACGTAAATCTTACAAAACTAAATCACAGAAACGTCTTTATTTGCTTAAACTATCAGTCCTCTCTCGTTTTTGTAATTGTTTTTGCACGGGACTCACAATCGAAGTAATATTCACTGGTCTAACTGAGAACCTCCTTTGAGGACCACTGCTACTTGAATAAGGAGGAGGTTCAACGTATGGCTCTTGACTTAAAACAGATTCCCTCCGTTCGTCTTGAAAAACAACAGAAGACATTTTTCTAGACTTCTCTTTCCTTCTAACAATATCCTTGAGGAGATTCTCATCGGAAGGCTTCAAAGAGAACCTTCTTGGGCCTCCACTTTTAGCCACATGATTTGGTACGAGCGAAGCTCTCCTGCTTTGAGCCGTTACAATCCCCTGCCTGCGAGTCCTTGGAGAAGTGTTTTCAGGCTCCTCTTGAGTGCTCACAGCCGTCAAAGCTCTTATAAAGTCAGCTATGGATGTTTGCTCCAGGATCTGGCCTTGCTGTGTAGAAGCCAGTAAAGATTCCCTCCTAATATACAAATTAGGAGGCGATTCTGGCTGAGGAACTTTCTGTTTTTCTATGTCTTGGTAAGAGGATTCGTCCCTTGACATAATCCGATTGCGTATCTTTTTAAATATGTTTTCTTTTTCGGGCTTTTTAAAGTCAAACACCGACTTGGCTCGCTGTCTTTTTCTGTATTGGTTTATAGCCTCATCTGCGTCAGCTCCGTACCAAGTATTGCCGTTTACGGCTTCATGTAACAACATGCTTGGTGGTCTCACGTCGCTTATTGCTCTACGTTTTTTAGTGTTGCGAATTGGATCGTGAAATTCGCTGGCTAAAATGCTGCTGTCCGAAAATCCATGCACTCCTTCGTTTTGTCCAGATTCATTATTTAAAGCATTAACAACTTTGAATAGTAGTTCGGTTTGTTCGAAAATGTCATTGGCAGGCATAAATGTTCTTTCCTTATCGATCCTGTTGAGGTCAGTGTCCGATTGGACTCTTTGATAAGTAACAGCTCTGTAGCACTCAGACATGGCACGTTTCCTCGCCATATTGGGCGATTCTTTTTTGTATATGGTGAGATCAGGACAACTCTGGCTTCTTTCAAGGGTCGAGGGCACGTACTCGAACTCTCCTTTATAAACTGGCTTGACTTTCATGAAAAGGAGCTCGTGCAAGAGCGTTCTGAGCTCGCCCCGTATTTTTCTCGGAGTGTTTTTGATGTTCTCCGCGAGCATGTGTTCGATTTGTTTGATTTTCTCGCTTCGCATGCCGTTGGTGATGAAACTGAGTATCATGACCACGTAGCCCATGCCTCCGATGATCCAGACCAGCAGGAAGTATTGGTAGACTGTGTAGAGGAAGCCGAAACCGAAGGTATCGTTTCCACCTAAAAATAATTAATAATTGTGATTATAATATCTCAAACTGTGCCTAACTGCTTGATAACGAGACAATAATTCTAGAAGCAACGACGCGTCATAAGTCGGGAAGAGTCAGTGATAAATAATTAGACGCCAGTGCATTAAGAATTAGTTAATTTCAAATTGAAGTTTCATATAGCGGAACATTCTTTGGCGGAACAATAGTCAATATAGTGAGAAAATGAGTTGTGTTTTATGTTAAAACTTGATTGTACCTACTTAATGTGCTAATTTTTTTGTGATTTCTGTGTTATTGTCATGAATAAAGTAAGAGGAAATGTATTTCTTTCTGTACTTCTTGAGCAAAGTAAAACCAAACCGAGAACCAAACTAGTAAAATCTAATGCAATAAATTCTCGATTATATCGAAACTTGACATAGTGGTGAATGTATTGACTGTTAAATCCTAGCCTATAGTTTTTCGAGCTAATAAAGACCAATTCCACCCAGTGAACACATCTGTGACATTTACGTTATATACATTTCATTCTTTTGGTTCTTTTTTTTTGAATCATGACAAGGTTAAGAAAAATTGCCAATATTTCCAAACGAACAAACCAAAATAAATTATACACTATTGGAAAGAGAATAAAATTCTCTATAAATCTGTGCTGATAGCTCAATATGGGGCTCTGTTCGGCTCTATCAGGAACGGCACTTTCCAATAAAAGACTTTACTTTGCGGCTAGTTTCGCGAGAAAATACTGTTTAATTTTTAAAAAATACTGATAACAAAGAAATTCCAAACTTAAGACTCGACTAATTCGTAGCTTTACAACTATTTTAAGGGCTGCCATCCTGGGGATTGCGGTTTTTTCAAAGCAACTCATTACACTAAATAGTACGATACGTCGAGTATATCACTACGTAGTAGTTAAAAATCACTTGTATACTACCCCATTAGGTCCACGAATTTGTTCCACTTTTTCCCCTTTTTTAAGTTCAGTGTTCTCACTTGCACTTATTGGAAGAATGTGTGTGTCTTCAATAATGTTCATTCGATTGTTTATCAAAGTAACGTCATCTTTACTCACTGGTATGTCTATTTTGTTCAGTTTTTCTTCGATAATTAGATTTTTGAACATAACCGAATTTCAGCACATTGCCAATTCTCATATAGGCTATTTTGGGATTTTCAGTGAAATTGCGCCCCAACAACAATAGTACACTCTGTACATTATCTGGCACGATTAGAGCCTCAATTTTTTCATCCACATCATCCAGTTCCACTTTTATTATTGTCTTCGTTTTAGTTATAACTGTTGCATTTCCAAATCCATACAGTTGTTGCTGACTTGGCTCACATTTTAATTTATGGTCTTTCATTATACTTTCCTTTATCATAGTAGCTGCACTCCCAGGATCTATAAAAGATAACATTTCTATTGTATCATTGATAATAACTTCTTGCAAGAACTTTTCTCCTAAGTTTGTTGGTGTTTGTACGCTATTTTTATTTTAGATGTGCATCTGTCCTTCGTTTGGTTTCTTATTTGTATCTGTTGGGCCAGTATTTTGATTCTTTGTGTATCGACAATATTTGGATACATATGGCCATACTTTTTACACACAATAACATAGTGGTTTGCCCTCTGCATCCCGTGATGGTAAAAACTTTTCAGCTTCCATAGTCACTTCCCTCTTTTCTTGTCTCAATTTTGGCTGTATTTCTTTTCCAGTGTTTCTTTCTCTCCCGAATGTCATTGTTTGTCCATCTGATTTTTTAATTCTTTCGACTGTGGCTTCTTCTATGCGCATATATTTATGAAAATTATTTATTAGCTCGTCATCATCAATATGCTTTTCCGCCATCATTGTATTGCATAATTGTTTATCATACAAGCCTAGCCTATCAATATCTGTTCTTTGCTTTCACTAAAAGAATGATTCAACTGCTTGCACAAATTCATCTTATCGTAGAAATAGTAATTGATATTCTCTTTCTTATTTTGTACCTTAGCAGTCATACGTTTCCATTTTGCAGATGGTGTACAAAATTTGTATTACAAGCTGCTACAAAGTCATCAAAGCTGATGGTATTGTGTCTCTTTTAGTCAAAAATGGTGTGCTCCATCTTTTAAACTACTTCTAGCTATCTCCAAAGCAAATGAAACAGTTAGGTGTCCCTGATGTAGGTGTAGATGTAGATACTATCAGCCCTTTGTTGTGCCAAAATTCTCTCAAACACTTCGTCTCTCCTCCTACTTTCTTGTATTATCAACTTGAATAAACTCAGAGCAGCGTCAGATACTTAATTTACACAATAATTTAGCGCCATATTTTGGTACCGGAATTTCGCGAATAGGCTTCCCATCAGACCTCAGATCCAGTCAGCGGCAGCTATCGCAAAATCGCGTGTTCGAAAGTGATCTACAGTCTGGTAGGTAATATTATTACTATAGCTACGAGAATGTGTGTTTCTATATTTCGTAGAACATTCTATAACTTGATAGTGATTTATTTATTGCAGGAATGAATATGAGTAAGCTTATAACTAGCTATTGAGAATGGCGTGTACGTCTGCAACCTAGCAAGTCGAAGTCCTTCAAAAGTAATAATTGTATAATTTGCCAGAAATCTACAAAGGGCGCAACCTCTTCATGAACAGAGCATTCTTATCCAAAGATTATAAAGTGTGTTAATAATCGTTGCAGATAATCTGGTGAAATAGAGTATGCGCAGTAGTATTCAAAATTTATTACACGAGTTGACGAGTTGCCAATTGAGGAACTATTGAAGCAGAAGCTGTCAAAATTTAACTAGCACTGTCAAGACAGAACAAGCCAAAAAAAAGATTTGTACTAGCAACCACATCCAAATACGTCTTTTCGAAGAAAAAAGGCAGACCTTCTATTTCTACAAGCTCAGAAAGTTCTACATGTGAAAGAATATCACGAGAGAGCTATGATAGAGACAAATGCATTTTGTGTCAGGAAAGTAGCAGCTTGGATCTTCATGAAGTTACGTCAGGAAACATGGGAAAGCAAATGAGGGAGATTTAGGGGAGAAAACAAAAGATGAAAGTGTAAGAGTGCCTCTCAGTAACCTTGCAGCATCTCCAGATGCTGTAACAGCAGTTGCTAATGTTATCTAATATCATCTCCCATTTCTCATAAAGCAAAAGCGGCAGTTATTAGTGAAATACACTGTTTGGCCATACAAGATAGGTTTGGGAATATACTATCAGACTTTGAAACAGTTGATGCTGTAAGCCAAGATCACCAAGATACTTAATATGAACGACATCAACACAACGTACGCAAATATTCTGAGAGAAAATGGTTGTACAGTGAATGACCACCCTCAGTATAAAAAGTACTTACCTCAAACAGCTTATTTTAGACAACATTCCGGATGTACACTTTAATAAACCATTGCAGAAAAGTAAACCGGAGCAGGTATTATCCACCAAAACAAAGGAAACAGCAGTGGCGATGGTAATGGATTGTAGCCAAATTAAAGAAGAAATCCAAGTACTAATGAAAGCAGCACAAATACTTCAGAAAAAGATTTCAGCATCGCCAAAATGGAAGTTCCAAGGGTCTTCCGATAGCTACACTCCTCCAGTAATGCTCTACATGTTCTGTCGACAATTGATTCAAGGAAGAAAGACGATCCAGACTGAGAGGAAAGATGCCGCAATATAGATACTCATTCCTCAATTCTAGCACCACATGTTGTTCAAGCATTCAAATCCGACAGACAGGTATCATAGTCCAAAGAACGAGGCCGCTACCTTTCACTCCAGTGATGAGACTCCGCTTTCAGTTGGTTTGGCATTGGACACTCATAAACTCACAGGATCCAAAAGGCTTATTGAAAAGCTGCATGATCTGGATCTAAGCATAGTTACCCTAAACTAATGCAGATTGAAACAGGACTCGCTAAGGGTGTTCTAAGGCAAAGTGAATTCAACGATGATATATGTATACCATCTGTTCTGAATAAAAATGAGTTTATGTGGTTTGCAACAACATTGACTTCATCGAAGTAACTCCATCGGGGATGAATACTTTTCATGGCCCTGCACTGCTGCATTTCAGTCCAAGGTAGAACGTGGTGAACCCATTACAGATCAGTGGTTATTCATCACACAACTTCGAAAGGAGCCTTACCAGAAGCGCTTTCTTGCAAGCATTCATATTGTGTTCCTCCAGTTCATTCGAAACATATAATTGTATATGACCTTCATGTAAATTCGATCGCACCTAATCTGGAACACAGTAATCAAACTGACTTACTGTGGGCAATAGGCTGCACTCAGCGTTGTTCTGATAACGGTAGTAAAGCTCCAGGAACATGGAGTGCCTTTAACTCATTAATAAGTTCAAGCTAAGCCCGCACTTACGTATCACTACGTGCCCCTCTTTTGCGATTACCACCAACCAATTACGATGCTTTGTTTAGAGTTGAGAGCAAAAGCTATTAATAGACAAATAATGGGGCTTAATAAAATGTGTGTTCATAGTCCGGCCAGATGAACTTCACACTGTGTTTTGGTCTTTGGCAGCTCCTGGAAAAAACATAAAAGGAAGTGGTATTGATTAAGCCTGGATAGAAGCAACTACTGTATCGAAAATTCGTACTGGGAAGAATATGTACAGAGCTCTTGATGCTCACATAGTCACATTGTTAGCCCTATATCAACTATATCTTGACGAGCTAGCAATAAAGAATCCTGATTAAAAAAAATTTGAAGGAAATAGTCAGATCGTTAGGAGAGGCTTCGCAGCGCTCCAGTTCAAAGAGAAGGCAATCAAGAGATTCAGAATAGAGTTTCCGAATACGGAGGCAGTCCTAACAAGATGCAGAAATTTGTGATGAGTTGCTTAAAACAGTTTCTCTTTGTTCGCGCGACTAGACAAAATGATTTTCGCATACATTTAGCAGCTACACAATCCCTCATGAAGTATATATACTTCTTTGCACATTATCATCAAAACTATGCAACACACGGAACACATCCTCCCGACATTTGGCAAGAGTTCATGAATGGAAAGTTTGGAATCTCCAGTAGACCTGTGCCTTTCACAACAGGTTTCTCTGATCATGGAATTGAGCGTGAAAACCGAAAGCTGAAAGTAATCGGTGGATTAGTGGGATCGACACAGAATGACATTACCCTGGACATATTCTTTATGAATGCACCCGAAATGTCACGAATATGTGAGAAATTTGAAAACCGGTACAACGTTAGTATGAATTCCATAAGGACTCAGCATCACGAAATTTGGGGCAGCAAGCTCCACACAACACCTCTTAACGCAGTAGAAATGAAAACTGTACTTGCTTCACAAAGAAATCCTCTCGATGAAAACGAAACAGAACTTCATACCTTGCTTACGAACAAAGTGATGACGACCGAAAATGAAGCAAATGATATCCTCAATCGTCACACTACAGGACAACAATGTTTTGAAACGTTTGTCCATAAGCGCTCAAATGATGGTGAGACATGCGTGTGGGATCCTATGACTAAAGTAAAACTGAAGAAGTTCAAGTCATTAAATGTGTCAAAGGTGTTATCTGTTGGTGGAAAGGTTATGAAGGTGGAGGAAGCCTTCTGCAAAGATTTATTATAGTAGCTAGAAGCCGTCCCGAACTTGATCTGAAAGAATGTATTCGGGGCTACGAATTCGGCATAGTTCTACGATCCTTCTTCGCATCTGATGGATCATTACTCCTACCTTACAATAAGTTAAAGGTGCTTCATCAACTGGAAGTAATTGGTTCTGAAGATACTGGTGAGACGTGTTACGGTAAAATCACTTGTTCGAATGCGTCACGCATCGATTCTGCAACTGTGAGAATGATAATTATTGATGGAATGGCGATGGTACATACCAATGACCTATACAATTAAGAAAACATCCACGATAGTTACTTGTAAAGACTTTGCAGTTGCTTTCCTCTGTAAACTTATAGAAACAGTGAAACCATATGATGAAGTTAGGTTGGTGTTTGATAGGTATCTAGAACATTTAATGAATGAGAAGATGAGAAGGAAACGAACTGGTAAAAATACAACTTACTGTCACAATAAAATGATAGTTTAATTCGTAACATTTCTTTGAGCAATTTTCTAGCGCACAATAAGAAAAAAGCAGAACTAACAGAATACCTAGCTGAAAAGACGCTGCATGTGGCTGTATCTAGTAACAGCCTAAAGAAATTCATGTTCACTGCAGTCACGACTACCAGAGGTAATGTAGACATTCCTAAAGTACTCCAAACTGACAGCCTGGAAGGAGAAGATACCATCATAATTCTTCATGTAAGTACAATTCACGAGGATGTTGACGTTGTTGATACAGACGTGTTACTCTTGTTGATTCAGCTGCACAAAGATCTGCTTCCCAACATCTCACTGTTCATTGGAAAAGGTAAAGCCTCGCAGAAAAAAAAAACATATGAAACCAATATGTGAAAAACTGGGGAAGAATCGTGTAGGGGCAATTCTTCCGTGGCATGTATTCACAGGTAGCGATGTGACGGAAAGAATGCAGGAAAAACGAAGGAATGGTGTTTCAAAGTTTTTCTTGACTGCGACGAGTTAATCCTGAAAACTCTCTCCAGCCTTTGTCATATTGATGACCCGTCGAGTGCAATGATCCTATTTGAGTTGGAAAGATTTGTATGCTTGATATGGAAATCGCAAGTTCACTCGACTGTTAGAGCACTGCGCTCATCAATGTATGCACACAAACAAGCTCTAGCTGAGCAGCTTCCTCCCACAAAGGGATGTTCAATTCCCATGATCCAAAGGGCAAATTCTGTGACCAAACTGTTAATGAAGTCAACTGAGAGTCATCTAGTTCTTCCTTCACCTGCCGACCATGGTTGGTGGATGCAACCTGACGGAACTCTCAACCCTACAATGTGCAACGATCCACCTGCACCGGAAGCAATTCCAAAGGTGATAAAGTGCGGGTGCAAGAAAGGGTGTAAGTCAGCATATTGTCCCTGCTTGGGAAAGAAAATGTGTCATACCGAATTGTGTGGATGTGCAGATTGCGAGTGTTACAACATCCAGTTAGAATGACTAACACATTTGGATAGCGAAACAGAATGATTGGCATATTATATTTCCTTTTTTTTTTAGAACCAATATGAATAGTTTCTGGTTATTGTGAGTTTATGTTTTCTGTTAATGTTACATTGACCTATCAACTGATGTACACTGTTCTGTAGACTATTATGTACAGTAATGTAAATAGTCCCTTGTATCAATCAATTTCAATAACCAGTATACATTTTTTTAATTGTGGTTCTCAAATTGATATATATTATGTTACTTTTAATACAATATTGTACCCTCGAATGTACCTAAACAAATAGTGAGTGGACGTAATACCGACATTAGTTAATATATTTTCCAAAATTTGTTTTGTTCTTAGAGCACCTAAACTTTACTTTTTTATAAAATTATTAAAGTAAATAAAAGTTGTGAGACTGATATCTCAATTTAATACTACATTTTTGTCTTTTTTGGACGCCATCTTGGATTTGGGTTGCATGTAAGCATGAAGAAAATGGCAATAAGTCATTTTTTAATCCTAAGGTACTCATTAACAACAGGCCAGTAGAGCGACACATACACACCAGCCGGCATACAGCCGTATACAACATCCTCTTCCAACTCAAAAGCGCTTTTTAAAACTGGTCACTTTTAAAAAGCGCTTTTTAAAAGAGGATGTTGCATACGGCTGATAATTCCAATGCCACCCAGTAAACACATCTGTAACATTTACGTGAAATTTATATACATTTCATTCTTTTGGTTCATGACAAAGGTTAAGAAAAATTGCCAATAAGGTATATTACATTTTGCGTGCGGTAAGTACCATATTACGTGCGGTAATATTATTACCGCACGCTTTATCTACATAGGTACGTTCCTTCAATTAGGTACCTGCCAGAGATAAATTACCTATCTCTATCACCTAAATTCTAATTTGTCCACTGTCAGTGACAGACGCATTTTTTTTAAGTAATTTTTTAAACTTCTTTCGGATATTTTGTTACCGCATGGTTGTAGATAAAATACGGTATATAATATGTATAGTAATTAGCTTATTACCGCCCTTAGAGATTGCAAACTGAGCCGTGTGCGGTAATAACCTTATACCCCACTTATTATACAAGTGAGCCTCAAAGTGGAATTTTAGTCGAAATTCAGTCGAAAACTTCAAACTCAAGTTTCTCAAAAACTATAAACCTAAACATATTATCCAATACAGGATTTTTAGAACTCAATAGGATCTATAATTCCTGGAAATTTTGATTTATTATCTCTTAGGGATTTCAAGATATTGAGGCATAAAGATTTTGAAATACGAATCCAAAGGACAAAGTAATTACCTACGTAAACTTCTACCTTAAATTTATATAGCTGTGTTTACTGAACAGCTCAATCCATTATTAAATTATATTCAAAGTACTGAGTACTGGCCCTTACTTTCTCGAATCACCTTCAAGTTTTAGTTAACTGGAACTTATAAAACGGAGCTTAGGAAATTTGTACTAGATTTTGTTATGGTTTCAGCATCTACTATAATTGGTAATAAAAATAACTTAGTTGATACTTCCACAAAAATCCAAACAGATTGATTTGCACTTGCGAAGCTAATGAACTAATGCAACAAGAAATTTGCCTAAAATTAATTTGCACTTATTGTTTATCTGTGACGATACGGTAAGGTGTGATCTGTGGTAACGTGGTAACGATGATGATTGGATTGGCAAATTATTGCTCAACCAAGTATTTTGAATATTTTATCTCAGAAAAACCTTTATATCGCCTCAAAATATTGATAGGATGTTTGTCGTAGGTACTTAAATAAAGGGTGGTCTAAGAAGGTGGTCCATTAAACTTGAGACAGTAATATATATCTCAAAAACGGACCACCCTGACTGGCTATGAAAATGGAAAAACAAGCGAAAATCGAAGCAAAACGCTGCAGAACTCAGCGAGTGAACAACAAATTTGGGGCAGTTTCAGTCGCTGAAAAGAAAAACTTCAATTTGCCGTTGTCAGGGATTGACGGAGTGAATCCAAAAAACTTCGAAAAGAATTGGAAACTATTCCGAATCTTTTACAAATACCTTCATAAATCTTATGATGTGATTCATGTGAGTTTTGTTTTCACCATCAGAATCAAATTTTTACCTGCAACATAATCACCAAATCCAATTGTCGTCAACGAAACGAACGAGTAATACACTGAAACATCATAATTCCATCCCTCGAACACTGTCATTATCGTCGAAGGAAGAAATATGAAAAAGGTAAATCCCGGAATCAGGTAGAGTATCACTTGGCCTATCAAACCCAATTTGGCAGTAGCGTAATCGATTTTCGCTTCCAATTTCGAGTTTTTCCAACGTTGGTGGAGCTTTTTGAACTAGAAAATGAAATAAGAACTGTGTTTTATCTATAAATCCTCTTGAAATTTTAAAAATCTTTCCTAAATCAAAAATAAATACTAATCGGCCAAAATTTTAAGAAAATCATTGTCGCCTTGACATTGTTTTTTCCAAAATTAAATTGACATTATCGTCATTCAATATTTTGAGTACCCACTTACCGATTTCCCGAAAAAATCTCCAAGAGTATAAATAACGATACCGTTCATTGGTATACCAATAAGTGCGTAAAATATCATAAATATTCTGGTCAGCATTACTGTAGGTGCCAAGTTACCATACCCTAAAACATTATGTATTAATAATTTGTTTTTTGCTATAAATAATAATTATTGATTACCTATAGTACTGACAACAGTGACAACAAAAAATACCGAATGGTAAAAGTCCCACTTGTAATTAAAAGGATCTTCGCTCATATTCATATCCAAAGGTTTGCCACAGTAGTCGGTTAAACTGGTAAAAAGGTGCTTCCTTTCTGAGTAATTTCCTTGGAAATATTTTCTGAGTAAAACTGAAACGGATAAATCAAACTTCATGTGTGGGATTAAGATTACTTTATTACTGTCTATTTTTGCAGCAAAATCCCATAACGAATAACCTTTTAAGGCGAATTCATACAAGAACGAGGGTCAAAGATTCAAGATTCTTAAATCTAGTTCAGCCATTAAAAAAATGTATAGCAAGCTTTTTTGTGTTTTTTTTTTGCTTCTCAGTTTTATTTATTACGTTTTGTGTTTTTGCATTGAATCTAAGTTACGAGGTGGAATCTAGACATTATAGCGAATTCTTTGAATTGTAGATTTGCAAGGATATAAAATTCTATATGAAAATTTTATGTACAAGGTCTAAGTTTTTGCATGTTTAAAGTCATAAAAAATGTTTGTTAGTAAATGGTATTGTAAGAATTACTCAAAGAATTCACCTTTTTCGTTGAAATATTGAGACAAAATTTCCAGGGATTGTGGGTATGTAGGTTAAGAAAAGGTTTATATTGGTTATTATTGCTACCTTTGAAATTTAAGCTTTTTTTTTGATAAAATCTTGACTAAACTTCAACTATGTAGCTAGATAGCTCAAAAACTCTATGAGCTACTCAAACAATTCCAGCACATTTTATAGAAAATTTATTGCTGTTTCCGGCGATATATAATTGAAATTTGCTTAAATATCATCAAAGATATGGGGAATTATTCATGGCAGTATCAGGATTTAATATAAAATTTCTTTCTTTAAAAGAATCAAGGAACAGTCAAACGCCTGGAATAGAGAAGAAAGATAATCAATTTTCCTTAAAAGTCTTGTCTCTATTTCACTTTTCTATAGTTTCAATTTTCAACTATTCCAGGCTCTTGATTTTCTGTTTCCATCCAAATTTCTTTTTACAGAAGAAGGAGCAGTCAAAAGCCTGGAATGACACTACTCCCCATAAAAAAATCAAGAAATATAGGCAAAACCCTGGAATAGAAAAGAAAAATGATCAAAGGACGATGCACACTCTAGATGAAATTTTAAAAAGCCTACGATTTTAATGAAATTTTAGTATATTGTAGATGTCGATCTACTGATCAAAAGTTCTCCTGGGGCCCAAGATGATCCTGACTGGTTTCCGGTGGCGGGTATGAGGCTACCCAGAAATCCGAGTAAATAGAAACTCTTTCACGAAAATTAAACTTTAATACAAAAAGTGATAAACACTACGTTTATTTCAGGCGTTGTATCCGGATAAGTGGATTGAATTAGGGTGGAAATATCCATATTTTCACAAAAACCCTTTTTTTCGATGAATCGCAATTAACCCTTTAAATCACCCTCCAAGTAATTTGCAAGTCAAATGAGATGTATATTGGTACTGCCTATAATTTACAGCACCATTTGTGCCCGAAACGGGTAAAAATGTCCATATTTTCATGAATTTTTTTTTTTCATGGATCGCAATAATTACTTTTACCCCTCTAAACCACCCTCAAGGTAATTTACAAGTCAAGTGAGGTTCCCCAAACGATATATTTCAGTACTGCCTATAATTTTCAGTGTCCATATTTTCACAAAAATCCTTTTTTCGATGAATTGCAATTATTAGTTTCACCCCCTTAAACCACCTCCAAAGTAATTTACAAGTCAAGTGAAGTTTCCCAAACGATGTATTTTTGTACTGCCTATACTTTTCAGTACTCTTTGTGTCCGAGACTAGGGTGGAAATGTCCATTTTTTCACAGAAACCCTTTTTTCGATGAATCGCAATTATTAGTTTTACCCCCTTAAATTACCACCAAAGTAATTTGCAAGTCAAGTGAAGTTCCCCAAACGATGTATTTTTGTACTGCCTTTTATTCCAGTACCATTTGCGCCTGAGACTAGGGTGGAAATGTTCATATCATATTTTTATATCGTATTATTTTATTTTAGTCCGATTTCTGTATAAAAAGTATGAATTAAAGAGAAGGATTATATTTTATGAGTACCCCATGGTCCCCATGTGGATAGAAATTGCCTCCTGACGTCTACCATGGCCAATAAAAGTAGGATTCCATTAATTTTAACACTTTTTTTTTTATTGAAGTTTACCTTTTGTGAAAGAATTTCTATTTACTCGGATTTTTGTGTATCCGCATACCCGCCACTGTATTTCAGAAACCAATCATAGGATCATCTTGGGCCCATACGAACTTTGGATCAGAAGATCGAGATCTACAACATACCATATCTTGGATTTTTTAAAATTCCATTTAAAGTGTGCATCATCCTTTCCTCAAAACTGTTGTCTCCGTTTCTCTTCTCTTTAGTTTCAACTTTCAACTATTTCAGGCTCTTGAATTTCTGTTTCCATCCAAATTACTTTTCACAAAATAATCAAGGAAGAAAAAAAAAATTATCAAATTTTCTTAAAAATTCTTGTCTCTATTTCTCTTCTTTTTAGTTTCAATTTTCAACTAATTATTCCAGGCTCCTGAATTTGTGCCCATCCAAATTTCTTTTTATAGAAGAATCAAGGAACAGTTTAAAGCCTGGAAGAAAATTTATTTCCATAGAAGAATCAAGAAAGAGTGAACAGCCTGGAATAGAAAAAAAAAATGATGAAATTGCTCCAGATCATCCTGTATTTGTATCCCTTATGGTTACCGAGATGCCAATAATTAGGTACTCACGAATTTGTAACACCCTGTATAGTATCAATCAATTTTCAGTTCACTTTGAACTAACTAACATTTCAGTAGGTTTGTGTATACGTTTCAAAGAGTTTTTAGTACATTCTACAAGTTCTTATTGTTTTCTGATTAGTCTTTAATATAGGTTTTAGAACAGTTCTATAGTACATTTCTACGAGTAGGTGCTAAAATTAGCTTTCATTAGTTTTTATCGTGTTTCCATTAGTCTTTGATACACTGCAATGAGTTTTTAGTATTTTCCACTTATTTGATTATCTTAATTTTTGATGATTCTGTACTTTTTTTTTTATACATATTCTTATTGATGATTTTCAATTTTATTTCGGTTAGTTTCAGTCAATTTGATTTTGGACAATTTCTTTCACTGATTATTTCTTTATTGTTTTAAACTTGTTTCTGAAGTTTGAAAAATAATATTTTTTTTGATAAAATCTTAAAGGGGGCCCAAAAATGATTACTTGATCTTCTTGATTTGTATAATTATAGTTTTTATCGTCGACTCGATAGAAATGGCATATAGTCAAAGCGGTTGTTTTAAATTATCTAACTTTATAAAAAATTCAATAAATGCTTTTAGACATGAAAATCTCAGAATTTTGTAAAGATGAAAAAACTACTCTTTCTACAAAAGACAATAATTATTCCCCTAATAAAAGTGTTAGTCCAATTACTATTTCACCTGAGAATTCACCTATTACTTCTCAACCATAGCTGGCGGCCCTTTTTTAGAAGAAGCTCAAATTTATTGAGTATTTTATTACTAAATTTATCAATCAGCTAGAAGAAAGGGTTCTGAGCTTGAATTGTTCTTGGACAGCTTGAAGCACCCTCCATTAGTTTGTTTAACAGAACACTGGTTTAAGCTCTCAGTAATTACACTACTTTGAGCAAATATAGTAGAAAGTAAAGTCCTTTTACGGCTCAATAATTCTTATGAATGATAAAATCACATCTTTTGGCTTTATACCTATAAACAAATATGATAGTCTGATGTGCTGCGAAATACTATTTGAATTGTCGATTGTTTATTCAAAGATTTTAAATTTCTATGTTGTTTGTATTTACAGATATTCTAGTTCTAACTGTGAAGTGTTTTTGTATAACTTGGAAGTTATATTGTTTCAGTTTTCATCGAAGCATGCATCTGTAATTCGTGTTGGTGATTTTAATATAGATTATGAATATTCTGAAAATGTAAATGTCCAAGCACTCTTGCTTAACTCGTTTGGTCTGATCATGCATGTTGCCACATACAGAGTCACAAAGCAGACAGCATCAATTTTGTATTATGTATGTTCTAATTTTTGTGATTGTCCCCATAATTGTTCTGTCCAGAATTCAGGCTTATCAGATCCGCTTTCTGTGAGTTTTCGATATCATGTCAAAATAGTGTGCATATTAAGAAAAAGAAGGGAAGTCTGTTTTTTTGGCACAACTACAGCCAATTCACAAATGTATGCACTGAGACGGAGACAGACTGGAGCGTTGTTCTGGGGGACAATGCTCTGCACTCATTTCACCTGACACTTGTTGATATCTTTAATGCTACTTTTCCCAATGTAAATATATAACCCAAAAAAAGAAAACCATAGATAACCAAGGGCTTGAGAATTTCTTCCAATAACTTGAGGTTTCTGCACACTATCAGCAAATTTGCAGTGACTAACGAAGTTTTGGTAACATATTTTAATAAATATAGATCAATATACCGAAATACAATTAAACTAGCAAAAACCACTTACTACAATAGTAGAATATCATCTGCAAATAATAGGGAGAGATCTTGATTATAGTGTTTGACTTAAGGGGAAAAGAATCCGAGCAGCAGGATGATTCGGCTGAAATTAATGTAAACATCTTCAACTCCATATTACTGCAATATTGCAACACACCTGTGGGGGCAACATCCCTGAACAAACAGTCCCTGATCCTCTATCATTGTCCTCCTTGAGCAGTTTTTTGGTTCCTAACCCTTTCTTTTTCAACCCAGTTACGACAGAAGAATTTAAAAAAAATTGTTTTGAGTATCAAAAATTGGTTGGGATAATATTTCTATTAAGATCTTTCTTGCCCTTCTGGACCCGGTCTTAAATGTTTTGGCAAATTCCGTAAATAATTTAGTGGAAGCAGGTAATTTTCCAACCTTTTTAAAAAAGGCCATGGTGATTCCAATTTTCGAGGAAGGAGAGAAAGAGTTACCCTCTAACTACCGACCAATATCATTGCTGCCTACCCTAAGCAAGATAGTTGAAAAGCTCATTGAGGAGCGGATGGTGGTTTTGGTTTTCCTAGAGCAGAATGGGCTATTTTCTTGCAATCAGTTTGGATTACAATTCTCAAAAAA